GCGACGGCACATCCAGTGGCAAAAAACTAGATTTACCGAGGAAAGAGGCGCATTGTTCAAAATGGAGATTGCATTGTTGCAGTTTGCAGGCCACACACTCGCTCTCTTGCTTTCTCCCCGCCACCCCCTCTTTTTCCTCTTCAAAATTTGTGCCAGTGCAGTGTCTCCACCGGGCAGGATCGAAACTTTGGCACACACATCTCCCCTGCCTTCATTTCCCTCCTTGTTTTGGTTTGGTGTTTTTTTTTTTTTTTTTTTTGGAAGAAAGAAGCCTCTTGTTTGGCAAACCTCTTTGCATTTCTAATGTGGTCTCTTTTAGGTTTTTATTATATATCTGTTGCTTACAAGGGAATGGACGCTATAGGCGAATTGTGGCACACGTACACACACAGAACGCGCTTCTGCTCACACCCTTAGCTGTGTGGTTTTCAAACTGTTGAGGAAGTGTATGGGTTGCTGTAGTAGAGGCACCTTATCTGGTCCTGTGTGTTTGTTTTTATTCCTGAGTGCTAATGGGCTCGTGCAACAGTTGCTGGTAAATGGCTGATGAAAAAGCAAAGCGGAAAGCCAAACAAAACCAAAACAAATGTGGTAATTCAGCCGATTCAACATCATTTTGGTCAAGTCCAGAATAAAAGTAATAAACCGCAGGAGCCCGTTGGCTCCTGCACTAATTTGCTCCCTTTCCCCGAGAAAGGAAGTCACCTGTTGCCGAGGATGAGCGTGAGTTACCACGCAGACGTCATTGCTGCAGATGAACTTTTTGGACCAACTTCTGCCTCACACGGAGAAGGGTCCGGGGGTTATTACAAAATGACTTTTCCTTTTCATTCTGTTTCTAAGGCTGAAAGCCCTCCCTGGATCTCTAGTGAATTTCTCTGTGGTGGTTACTCCTGTGCTTTCTCACAGAAAGTTTCTCTAGGCTGGTGCTGAGATGCACTTTTGTTTAAAAAAAACAAACACGCAACGTACAATTTGCTGCTTTGTATTAAATACGTAGTTTTGGGTTACTAATTTCTGAAGAAATAACTTGTAACGACAACCTATAGATTTTTCCTTTATATTCTTGTATATCTTGGATTAAATTTAGAGTGCATTTTAAGACCATTTCCGACGTTTCTGAGGAGATAGCATCTTAAAAGTAACTAAGGTGTTCTCTTGTTTTTAAGAGAGACTAGGACAGAGTGGTTAAATTTAAATGTTTCCGGTTTTTGTAAAACCTTCAATTCCTTGTTGAAGGGATATGAGCATTAAACCAGAAGTCAGCCCATTTAGATTGCTTTCACAGCAAATGAAAAAGGTAGTTTATGTTGCCTGATAGAATATCAGCGGTCTTTGCATGGAGAGGTTGGCAGATGAAGGGATGAATCAAGTGTCATGTATTTATTTCCTGTAAGTAGATGGCACTACACCCCAGTTTTCATTTCTTGTCAGTTTAGTTTTAGTACATCTTTTATAGTAACTTTTTTTATAATATAATAGTTTATTTTTGCATTTTGTGCCTTTTACCATCTCACTTGTCATCCCCGTGGGCTTCCCATCACCAAATCACCTGTGTGCTATCACCATAGTTCCGTGTGCTACCCCCTCACCCCCATTTTTGATCCCATTCCCCATTTCACCTCCCAGCCCCGTAAAATGTCTCGTATATAGTTGTTCATTTTCTCCCCTGTATAGTAATAATTTTTACCTGAAGATCACGATTTGATTTTTTCCTATCAAGGGCAAAGAGTTGAAAGACACCAAACTGAAATTACACCATTGGAGGGAGTTTTTGTAGGGTAGACTGAGCAAAGGCATTTTGGCAGGGCATTTGGCTACCTTGAACTCCTCTTTGAAGGCCTAGCAAATAATACTGAGGAGGGATATTTAGGCATATGCTGAATTAATCAAGTCACAATTTGTGGCTAGGTTCCCTTTAAAAAATGTAAGTGTTCATGGATTTCCATGACATTTTTTTTCCTTTATGAACTCATCTACTGTGTATGCTTGTCCTATTTTTATATGAAGTTAAGGATTTTTTTTTTTTATGTTGAATTTATCTTCTAGTCCCTGTATTTCCTAGAATGGTGTTACACGCATTGCAGGTGCTTATTAAAGATAGGTTAGATAAGTGATTGTTAAATATTCAGAACTTGTCAGAGATGAAGTTTTGCTTATTCTACAGTGGGTGTCATAACTCCTAAATATTTTGAATTTGCCAAGCTAAAAAAAATTGGTCTAATTAGATTTTGATAAACAAACAATAGAATGTTTTTAGTAACAGAATTAGTGTGTTTTGAGCCTGCTTGCCAGGTATTTTTCTTCCTTTTTTGGATTGTGTTAACTTGTTGAATGTTTTACTTTTTGAAACAATTTATTTCACAGATTATGGTGAAAGGGATGATACATTTTGTGTTTTAAGTTTTCAGAATATGTCCACTTGCCTAAAATGAGTAACAATTCATGACATGAGTTGTTTGAGTTAGACACCCATTTCATTAGTTTTTGTTTGTACTTCCAGACAAGGAAGACTGGGAAGAAGTCTATAAGCTAAATGTGTGTGTATGTATTTGGAAAAAAAGTTCTAGGGCTGGTTTAAGAGTTCTCAGTACCGAGCCCATTGTTGGCTGGTACCTGGAGAACTGTGTTTTAGCGCATACAAAATGTGGTTGGTGGCTGTGAATGCTCCAAGGAAGAATATACTTTGTTGATAATCTAGAAGCTTGTTTAATTTTTATAGACTAGAATGTTGCCTTAAGAACTTTACATTCCTAGAACTCTGTCTTTTCAGCTGAGTTCTCTGTAGGTAATGTGACCATGGATAATAATGCAAAGACATCGATTACTTACTAGCCCAATTTTCTAGTCATAGATCAAGTATATGTAGGTATGTAGTCACTGGAGAGTAAATACCTTCCTTTTATGGAGAAAAGTTTTAAGTACTTATGCATAAACACATATTTCTATAGGACTGACAGCTTAGTAATACAGAATTGAAATAATCTGGTTTTGCATAAACTAGAGGCATTTGACTGAATCATGTTTTTGTTTATTTTGATTGTTAAAATTTAGAGTTGTTTCAGTGTACAGATTTTATGACATACTTTGCCAACATATTGAGAAAAATTGTATAGAAACTTGAATAGACATGTATTTGATAAAATTCTGACACACTTTGAAAGTAAACATTTACTAATTTAAAAATACCAAACCTTGATTGAAACAGATTCTTGAATTTAACTAGTGTGGAACTTCTGAGGCTACTTACCTAGCATTTTGAGATTTGGAACCACTCATGAGGCCAGACAGCAGAAGCTGTGGTGTTACCCCGGGAGAGCTAGTGATTTATGCCCTCAAAGAATGATGACAATGGCACAGATGCCATGAATGAACTGTAGAATTCTCTAAAGTAGAAGTCGTTATTCATTTGGCGATATTTATTCACACCAGTGGCCACCAAATATCTTCCCATTATGTGTGGAATTCCTGGTTGCCACACCTGAGGTACAAAGTCCGGAGGGGACTGAAAGGAGGGTAAGCGAGCTCCTTCCCTGTTTGGGGAGCCAGTGTGGATGTCAGCTTCTGGGCTGTGCATTTGGACAGTGAGGATGGATGAACCCGGGGAGGAGCTGCATGAACTGATAGGCGGATGGTAAGCGATGGTAAGCGTGGGCAGTAACCTGGTTCAGCAGAGCCTGAGTAGGTGTGTAGGAAATACGTCGGTCGCAAAGTGCCATT